CACCCCACTGCAAAATATTACAAGGAGGCTCATCCCCTTTTAGGAGTGCTCTGAGAGATGAAGCCACCCCACTGCAAAATATTACAAGGAGGCTCATCCCCTTTTAGGAGTGCTCTGAGAGGTGAAGCAATTAGCCTGATCTTACACCGGCACGTACTACCAACTGCAGCTCCACCACGGGGCTCACACACGGCGGAGGCGGCGGCTCTGCTGGGACGGGGCCCACGGCCGGGAAGGTGGTGGTGAGCGTGGGGCCTCGAGTGGCCTTGGCCCGGGCCCATTTCCGGGATCCGCATCCCCACGGCCCTCCCTGGCTGAGGCCACTGGTGGGGAGGCCAAGCTTAGGCGCCACCCTAAGGTCCAGACCTCAAGGTCACACGTGACAGCCGCGGGCTCAGCCAGGCCTCAGGCAGACAGACACACCTCTTCACACTTCCAGGTTCCTGTCCCAAGGCCACCAGACCACCAACCTTGACCTCGGCCCCTGAGCTTGCCCGGTGGGCCGCGGACAGAAGTCTCTCGCACAAGGCTGGCCTGGGGGCCCTGAGCCTGACCGTGGGTGCACTTGGACTCGGGGGCTCAGAGGAGCTTTTCTAGGGCACACAGCCTCCCATGCTGTGTGAGGGCACCGCTGGTACCCCCACTTCACAGATGGGGAGATCATCACCAGAGGTTAAGGGACTTGCCCCGGGATACGCAGCTGGGGAATACCGGCACCCGCGTTCACGCTCGCCCGGCCCCCCTTCCCTGGGTCACCGCTGGGAGCGGGGCAGCCCCCGCAGTCGGGACACCTGATCAGCACCCAGGGGCGGCGGGTGCTCCCAGGGACGTCTGGTGCCACTGGCACCGGCAGACTTAACGTGCACACGCTGGATCCCTTCCCGTGGGCACAGGGACGGAGCCTCGGCAAGGGAGAGGACAGGGAGGGGGTGGCTGAGCAGGGGCCACGAGCCCGGTGCCTCCTGGGGGCCTGGGAGCGAGCCCACCGCCCCTGGAGCACGAGCAGCCGTGCGTCGCCGTGGCCTGGGCTCTGCGGGACACACGGCTGCTGCAGCGGGTGTTCCTTGTCTGCAGCAGCGCTGACCCCGAGAACCCTGGACAGCCCGGGGGGAACACGGGGTCCCCGGTCCGGCTCACGTTCTGGGCTTCGGGAGAGGCCTCCACGGAGATGCAGCAGCTAACGCAAGTCTCCAAACGCTGCAAACACACAGGCGCAGGGGCTGCCGACCAGCTCTACAAACTGCCGTCTCCACCAGGGCCTTGTCTCCTCCCCACGTGACCTTTCTGTAGCGAGGAGCCCTCCGAACACCGTCGGGGCTGTGGCCGAGGACGGCGGCCCGGAGCGGCAATGACCCGGTCTGCTGGCGTGAGCTGAGATGCACCCAGAGCACCGGGCACACAGGCCGGCAGTACCGAGGAGGCGGAGCCTCACGTGGGCCACCCGCCCGGACTGCGCTCCAAGGGCACCCGCATCTCATCCTCCAGAAACTCATCATCACAGCTGCCTCCTGGGAGGTCTCCACTCACTGGGATCTGGGGAGTCGATGTAACCTTTGACATGGACACCCTCCTTCATTCCCAGCCTCCCTCTTTTTAAGATGCCTGAGACTCCGGCCGCTGACCGTCGCCACCGCTCGGCTGGCATTGAGGAGCGCCTCCAGCCCCACGTCCTCTGCAGACTGTCCTGGGGCCCTGCTTTGCCCTCAGACCCATGACCCTCCGAGTTGTTCGGCGATGAATAAATCACTCGCTTGGAAGAGACGCTCAGGCTGGGCTCCTGGCAACACTCCGTGTTTCAGGAACGGCTTTCTGCAGAGACCCTTCCCCACGTGACTCAGACTTGACTCGCCCAGGACGAGGCTGGGCCCGGACCCCTAATTCCCTCTCTGCCTCACACAAGATGAGCCGAACCACTCATCCCGCGACCCGCTGGGACAGGAGGCATGCTGGCCAAGCGTGAGCCCAGCTCCTCGCCACGGCCTGCGCCCCCCGCAGATGCCCCAGCCCAGCCCCTCCAGCTCGGCGCACTCCCTTGCAGACGAGAAGCCTGTCCCGACTCCCAGGTGTTTGCACGTCATACAGCACAGCGTCCTCCTCGCTCAAGAGCCCCCCACTCCCTGGAACAATCCTTCTGAATAAAGATCCTACCCACTCAAAAAAGAAGGAAGCCGCGTCGGGGGGATAAGGGGAGCGAGGGTGTCCAGGGCCCCCCTGCTCCAGCGGGTCTCCACCAGCTTGGTGGCCAAGGGAGCGAGGATGGGACCAGGGGACACTGCCCCAGCACCAGGCTGACCCCCAACCTCGGGCCACCGTGAGGGGATCAGCAGGGTGCGCCCACCCCCACCCCCCACGCAGAGCCGGACGGACCACGGGGAAAGGGTGGCAGGCGAGCCTGGGGCCACAGACCCCTCCTGGACTCCCAGGCAGAAGCCTCCTATGTGACCTCAGAGAACAGACCAGACTGGCTCCGAGGGGCTACTCAGAGCATGGGGACCCCAGGATCCCAGCTCCCAGCCAGATGAGCCTGTGGGCGCACAGCCTCCAGCCCCCCTGCAAGGTCTGGGGCAGGGAGCCCCAGGCGCACTTCCCTAGTAATGCAGAGCAGGTGTGACCCTGGCTGCCCAGGGTCTGCGGTCCCCACCCCCAGCCCCAGGCCTTTGGCCGGTGGAGGAGTTTGTGGGCTAGCACCTCCACCTCCTCCAGGATCACTCACGGGTGCTGGGACGTGCTGGCTGGGGGCAGACCTGATGACGGGCCAGGAGAGGGAGGGGCCCAGGGGAGGGGGCAGCACACAGAGCGGCAGTATCTGGGCACAGGCGACCGGCACGGATGGCTGTCCCTCCGGTCACCGTGCTGGGCACCTGAGCAGGCCTGGGCTCCCGATGGAGGATGCCAAGGGCAAATGAGGGGGCTGTGCCAGAGATCTGGGCCCCACCAGGAGCTGGGGTAGGAGCCGAGCTCCAGGCAGAAGTCCAGGACTCAGTCCCCGGGGTGTGACCTCAAGGCCTGGCTGGTCACAGGGGCCATGCTGGGAGCCCAGAAGCCCCCCAGGGCTGCCCTAGGATGGAGCCCCCGGGGATGGCAAGCAGCCCCAGCCACGGTGCACGAGGGCGGCAGGCACTGGGAGCCATGTGCCCAGGCGTGGGCACCAGAGAGCGGGAGAGACTGTAAAACACCTTAACTTAGTAAATGTTTAAATCAGGCAATTATTTTCCTGATGGCTTCTAAAACTAGAACTCATTAAAAGCTCTCACGGAATCTTCTCTCTTTTTACTGGCGCTGAGGAATAACAACCTTGCACAGGACATAATAAAACCTCGTGTGTGTGTGTGTGTGTGTGTGTCCTCCACCTTTAAGAGCAAAAGCAAAGAAAATGCCGCTGCATTTTTCTCTATCATGCAATCTCTTCTCGTAATTAGGATCTTGGCAACCATCCACCTACAGAGACGCGGTCCCAGTTCATGGAATAGCCAAACTTTATCGATTTATTCCCATATTTATAGCTAGATATTGGCCAGATCAACAACCCCCCACGCTCTGGCCGCACAATGCCAGCTACCGGCAGGGTGGCTGAGGCCCCACACGCTCTGCTCAGCCTGGAGGCCCTTCCTGGCCCCTCTTTACCCCAGCCTGCTCCCTCCTCGGCCTGCCAGGTAGCCATGGCAACAGAGCAGCTGGTGAGCACAGAGCTCTGCACCTGGGTCAGGTGACACAGCAGCTCAGGAGGGGAACAGGTAGCGCCAGGCCTCGCAGGTGAGGTCAGGTGAGCTGGGCTTGGCACAAGGAGCCGGTGAAGACATGGCAGTACAGGCCGC